ATTTAACTTTATAATGCTATAACTTATTGAAAAGTTTATGGATCCACACAATTTTTTTATGAGAAATAATATTTTTTAATAAACCCTTTTTCATTCGACATACTTTATCTTAATCGAGATATTAATAAGGAACCAGCAGATCAAGTAGCTTTTGGAATAAAACACCAATTTTTTTAAAATTAAACACTATCTAAAGATTTGCATCGAAGCGTTTATTTTTGATAGTGATTTTAATCACTGTCAGATATCATTATACTTGATCCAACTATGCCACGTCACCACTGTGCCGCGACCCCCCTGTGCTGAGTTTTTTTATATTAAAAGCAATATTACTGACACTTTTAAGATTTTTTTTGTTTAAATAAAATTTTAACTTTAGTGATTGATTAACAAGTATTTCAATAAATTAAATTGACAATGACGCGGTTAAAAGGTGATCATAAAGTGAGATGCATCAAAGAAAACTCCAAAACTAACCGTTCTGTGTGGGATTTATTACTTTTTATATGGCATAGTGTATTCCTCCCAATAGTGTAATTATTAGCACTAACTCATTAGTTTACTCCTCCTTTCTTTTCAATGAAATAGAAAAAGGTGGTTAAATAAACGCTATTTATACTAACCTAAAAAAATATAGTTTAAAAAAACACGATTTTAAAGCACATTGAACTAAAAAGTTAAAAATAATTTTTTAAATTAACTTAAAACAATAATGAACGAAAAATACTAGTATTATTGTGATATAAGCGTGGGTGCTTTGTACCATATTTTTCGTATATTGAGCGCACGACTCTTTTTTTCACAATAATACTAGTATTTTTCATTCATTATTATTTTAAACTTATTTTAAAAATTATTTTTAACTTTTTAGTTCGATGTGCCTTAAAAGCGTGTTTTTTTTAGTTTTTTTAAACTATATTTATTAACACGCTTATATTAGTTTCACATATATGTTGTTTGTAACTTTCCACGGGTCATGTGTTATTATCTCGCGTATCCCGACGTTTCATAATATCGATGGCAGTGCAACCGGCATTTTTGTTAGATCCTTTAGTCTTACAAAACCATAGACTTAGCTATTAATAATATACCGAATACCCGGTTTGAATCTATTATTGTTATCACTCATTTAGTGCGTAGTAAATTTTTATAGCTAATTTACCTATCATAACTTGATCAATAAAATTTGTTTTATGCAACAGTAAATAAAAAAAAAAAAGAATTATATTGATCCATACATCTTTCAAAAAGTTATAACATTATAAAGTTAAAAAAAAACCAGCACAGGCAGTCGCGGCACAGTGGTGACGTGGCATAGATGGATCAAGTATAATGATATCTGACAGTGATTAAAATCACTATAAAAAAAAAAACGCTTCGATGCAAATCTTTAGATAGTGTTAAATTTTAAAAAATTGGTGGATTATTCCAAAAGCTACAGGATCTGCTAGTTCATTATTAATATCCTAATTAAGATAAAGTATGTAGAATGAAAAAGGGATTATTAAAAAATATTATTTCTCATAAAAAAATAATGTTGATCCATACACTTTTCAATATGTCATAGCATTATAAAGTTAAAAATGTAGAAAATAAAATCGAGAATTTTCACACTATAATAGCATTCGGTAGCCATTTTCACCGTGAAGATAAAATAAAGTCCGAAATTTATTTTTCCATAATAAAGTAAATTACATTAGCTTTAATTTAAGATATATATAAAAGTGTCAGACCTTCCGGAACACTTTTAAAAGTTAAGTTGAAAAAATTAATTTTTTGTGAAAAAGTTGTCATTTTAAATTCTCCCTTGTGGGCAGGTTAAGGGTTAAATTTATGAAAAAAATATACCAAATAAAAGGTAATGATATTATGCATCTATATAAAAAAGAATTATATTGATATGTTCATTTTTGAAAAAATTATGGCACTTTTATGAAAAATAAATATAGTTTAAAAAAACTAAAAAACACGCTTTTAAAGCACATCGAACTAAAAAGTTAAAAATAATTTTTAAAATTAACTTAAAACGTGGGTGCTTTATGCCATATTTTTTGTATATTGAGCGCCTGACGCTTTTTTCCACAATAATACTAGTATTTTTCGTTCATTATTGTTTTAAGTTAATTTTAAAAATTATTTTTAACTTTTTAGTTTCATGTTATGATAGTAGTTAATATCAATATCATGATTGTAACGGGTAACGGGAAATAAGGGTTCGATTCCGGAGAGGGAGTCTAAGAAACGGCTACCACATCCAAGGAAAGCAGCAGGCGCGTAACGTGGAGGTAGTGACGAAAAATAACGATACGAGAATCATCCTCCATAATCGGAATGAATACACTACATATCTCTTAATGAGAATAAAGTGTATTAATATATAAGTTTTAATAGTAATTAGAATATATACATATTTAAAGGGACTTAAGTACGTAAACATATCATGCATGAGGTATAGCCGTATAACTTTTTAGTTCGATGTGCTTTAAAAGCGTGTTTTTTAGTTTTTTTTAACTATATTTATTGTGTCTGTTACCACTTTTTCTCAGCTCTCACCGAACGGATTTCTTTCAACGATAAGTCAAAAGATCATAAATCGTATCTAGTTGAAGACATTACCATCAAAAAAATGGGGGAAACTTCCAAAAAAATTACAATTTTAAAAATCGCTAATTTTCGAAATTTTTTTACTAAAAACTGCCATAACTTTTTCAAAAATTAACATATCAATATAATTATTTTTTTTGTAGATGCTTGATGTCTTTACCTATTATTTGGTATATTTTTTTCATAAATTTAACCCTTTCCCTCCCACAGGAGGAGATTTAAAATGACAACTTTTTCACAAAAAATTAATATTTTCAACTTGACTTTTGAAAGTGTTCCGGAAAGTCTGACACTTTTATACATATCTTAAATTAAAGTTAATGTAATATACTTTATAATGGTAAAAAAAAATTTCCGACTTTATTTTATCTTCACGGTAAAAATGGCTACCGAATGCTATTTTTGTGTGAAAATTTTCGATTTTGTATTTTACATTTTTAACTTTATTATGCTATAACTTTTTGAAAAATGTATGGATCAACACAATTTTTTTATGAGAAATAATATTTTTTAATAATCACTTTTTCATTCAGGATATAAATAAGGAAATAACAGATCATGTAGCTTTTGGAATAATCCACCAATTTTTAAAATTAAACACTATCTAAAGATTTCTTATCGAAGCGTTTTTTATGATAGTGATTTTAATAACTGTCAGATATCATTATACTTGATCCAACTATACCACGTCACCACTGTGCCGCGACCCCACTATGCTGGGTTTTTTTATATATATTTATTATTATTTGTTAATAATGTATGTCGAATTTTTTGGATTTTAGTTTGTTATCAATTAGGCGACTTTTGTATGACGTAACGTTTTTATTTCAAACTGATTGGTGGTGAAGTATATTGTCCTGAATTGTTAAAGAGTAAATTTTAAAGATACATTTTTTTACTTTCGAAACAATTTGATTTTCTGTATTCTATTCCACCGTCAAAATTATTTCTGTAATAATCCTATTGTTTATATGTTAAATATGTCTATTAAATTTCCCACTATCAATTTTTTTAATGATTAAATTTATTAAGTATTACTAAATCTAATTTTTATTGAATCTTGTATTTTAATTGTGATATTTAAAATACTTTTGCCTTGGAGGGATGTTATAATACAAGGTGGAACAGTTCTAATCGACAACTCATATAACTTATGATCTACATAAAACTTTATACTTTTATTTTTTTATCAATTTTTACAATATAGGACTACATTTAAAAATGTTTTATGTTATTTTTCGTAATTACAAAAAATATTTTAAAAATTAATTTTTTTTAGATTTTAAGATAGAATTTTATAAATAAGTTTTAAAGATAAATTTTGATACCAAAAATTCTTATTTTAATTCAGTAGTTACGTTTATACAGCATTTTGAAATTTGTTAAATTTTTATTTTTTTTTTGAAGATTAGAGATAATCATTTCTGTAAAAAAGCGCGTTTAAACGTTATTATTATCTATGGAAAATAAATTCTGTACATATTAAATAAATTATTGTGAAATATGATTTATTTATTGGTTTGTATACAAGTATGAGTTATAAAGTTTTTAGTAATTATAAAATGTTCATTTATTAATATAAAATGTCTAAAATTTTTCATAAGTACACTAAATTTATATAAGTAACACAATGTATTTTTTATAAAGTTAAAATAAAAATAAATCAATATAGTAACTAAAAAATGAAGTGTATTTATAAAAATGGTAGTTTTCTATATAATTACTATAATTAACATGATGTATAAAATTAGTTATTGGTTGGTCTTGTATTATCATGAGAATAATTGAGTTATGTATTTATTGAATAAAATAATATAATATAATTTTCTCTTGTGATATGAGTACGAGGGTTTTATGAAGAGATGTAAAATATAGAAAAACAAAGTGATGTTTGAAAATGTATTAATGCAATAATAATTTGAAATAGAAATGATTGTAATTAATTATCACACATATATTATTAATAACGCCACTCGTACCAGTAGTTATCTAAGCTTGTGCTGACTGGGAGTCGTGTCATTAAATACCTCGAGTAGTATAGGAATCATAAGTGGGTTCTTCATCTTTGCAAGAGTGTTTATTTGTATTGACTACACAGATAACACACTCAAGTATTAGACTAGGCTGGCTAACTTCGTACAAACGTTATTGATTTTTGTATTTATTTAAACAATATTTTATTCTAAAGATCACTTAATTTTTCTGGTTTCCTACTTAATTTATGTACTCATTATACTTAACTTAATACTAGGTAATTACTAGGTTAATTTCTGTGAAATGTGAATTTACCTTAGTGATGTTGGAGGTAAGGTTGAAAATAAATATGTTTCGATTTTTTGTGAAATTATAAATTTGCCGAGCCATTTCTTGCACTTGTTAAAACTTCATAAAGTGAAGGAGTATTGATGCCTCATATGAATAGACCGTTTTTATGCCATTTTATATTAAATTTAATTCATCTTTATGTGCAAGAAATGTCACAACCTTTTTTATTATCTGTTTATTACTTAATTGTGTTAGTTATTACATATTATTTTACTTAAAATAGATGATTTGTCACAACTAAAGAATTTCTTATAGTTATTTTATTAGACTTGTATAAATGCAGTTTTATACATATTTCTAGGAATAGTTTAAAAGATTGGCATGAATAATATATATTTAATTGGATGACTAATAGACAATAATTTATAGACTACTGAATGATGAGTGGTGTATGTATTATAACATTAACAAAAAAAATTTTTTTGTTTATAGCTTTGTATAATGATACCTCTTTGAAATATCCAGAGTTTAATAAAAACTTCAACAGATTATTGCCGTTAGTTCTTGGCTATGATGGTTTGGTGACACAAGATAATATTGAAGATATTGGAAAACGTGTTATGAAACATTACTTTCCATCTAATAATGTTAACGATGGCAGTCATTTTAATGCTATCAAAGTAATTTACATTATTTGATTTTTTTAAATAAAACGATCAAAGAGGGGTGGTTTAAAACGAGCTTTTGATATATAATCATCAAATTTGATTAATATGCAGTTCCGTATTTACAGGTTGGGTTACTGAATAATTACTTTGGGCGGCAGTTTTTTAAACGGTATACTAAAATATGAAGTAATATAAATTATAGATTTAAAGAACTTTTTTATTATTTATATAAATAAAAAAATGAAGAAAAATTTTAATGAGCAAAATAAAAATGTCAAAAATGAGTACCTTGGGTGACACAATTTCTAAATTTTTTATGTATGTATAGTGTTGAATTCAAACATTTCTATAGTGAAACTCGTTGATCATTAGCAAAACGAACATATTTTTTGTTCATAATTTTGGTATGCTTAGCTTAGTTTTGCCTTAGTTCATAGATTAGATTCCGTTGCGCTGAGCTAATTAGTTGTTCTCTAACATCACAATAGCTATTCAGAGAGATCGTTAAAGATAAATAGAGTAATAATCTTAAAATTAAAATTTCAACCGTTTTACGACTTAAGTTAGATATTTTCACCAGTTTTGTCCAAAAACATTTCTTAGATATAAACAAATCAATTCAATTCGTTCTTTTTTACAGTTCTATGAGCTTTTTTTTTATACGCTCGAGATCTCGGGGCGCATCGCCCAAAATTATTGCGACACTTAACGACAAGATAACGAAAATCTATTTACACGCGTCAAAAATCCAAAATCCGACCAAAATTCTAGCCGCTATAAACGTTTGGAATTCATCAAATTTTAACGAAAAATAACAATTTTTCTGTTTGACAATAATAGATAAACACATCTTATATTATATCTTATTCTAATAGAACAAGGAAAAACGCTTTTCTGGAAAAATTACTTAACGTGATACGATATTAAAATTTTTTTTCAACGATTGTACTCGGTATGAGACTCCGGGGAACTTATTGGCAAAGGTCGGAATAATGTTGACGCTCGCACGCGAATGTTTTAAAATTTCGACCGTTTTCAAAAAAAACGCTTGTTGTACAACTCATGTCTACGCGCATTTTTCGAATAAAATTTTTTTTGTGCATTTTATTTAGGTTCATAAGCCTACTTATAAGAACGGCTCAATAAGGCTATGCACATGAGACTTGTAGAGACTCAGGTCTGTGGCGGAGTTCCAGCTAGGCAAAGCCCCTAGTGACATAAAAATGCTACAAATAAAAGTTTATGAGTAACATTCAATTCATTTAAATTTAACATTATGTACATGTTATTTCTCACTGTAAAAATTGATTTGTAAAGTGATAGCTAATTTAGTTTACATTGTACGTATAATATAATTTCTTAACACTTTATTTTTTAATTGCTCTTCCCAAAAAATTAAAAATTGTAAAAATTTTATAACCACTCTCAATTATAATTAATTTTTATTAAAATAAAAATTGTATTAATATTAATGTAAAAATTAATCAGATGTTTGGAGATGGAGGATTTGTATATGGTGTCATGGCTATGGCTTACAGATGGACAGCTCCGTTGTATGTTCTTGAATATGCCTACCAGAATCAATATTCATTCAATGAACTATGGGGATCTATAGAAAAACCTTTAGGAATAACTCATAACGACGAAACAACTAGTTTGTTTAGAGCATATGTGTTAAATGAAAAAGAGCTTAATGAACAAGATACTAAAGTGTCAAAGTTAATGATAAATATATGGAGCCATTTTGCAACTACTGGGTAAAAATTTAATTAAAATATAGATTTAAATATTTTCAAAATACGAGTAAATCCATTAACAAAAAAATATAAAAGTTCAAATAGAGTAAAAGAATAATGTATTCAATATTAGTGTATATTATACAGGTGTTCAGTAAGTAAGGAAACTGGTAAATTGTTACAAACAATGAAAACAATAGAAACCCGTTTCCTTACTTACTGAACATTCTATATATTATTCAATAATTATAATAGTGTATTTAATTAATAAAAATAAAATACGTTCAAAATAACAGTCTAAATAAAAGGATTCTGTATTAATTATGTATAAAACGTTTTTTCATAAACTTCTTTTTCTTCTTCCTCGCCTTAATCCCAACTACTTGGGGTCGGCCAATCTTTTCCTAAACTTCCACTTGACACGATCTCCCACATCATCTACACTCACATCAGCTGTCCTCATATCGCATTCAATAGCATCCCTCCATCTCTTTTTTGGTCTTCCTCATAAACTTCTCATATTTATATTTTTAATGGTATTATGTTGTTCATATAACTCCTAACATTTTGTACAACAGAGTGTTTCTAATTAATGAACAAAAATAAATAAAAGTCTTCTAATTACGTGTAAAAATCTAAATTAAATTTAGTTGTCTTTTAGCTCCGATGGGTGTCAATTCGTCCTATGTAACTACATTTTCATGTTCTCATCGCTCTCTTTGCGAAACTGTGTTTGATCTTAGACTAATATTTAATTACAGTCATAATATACTAAATGTTTATTATATTATTTTTAGAACACCAACTATAAATGGAACGCAAGAAGGAATTATTTGGCCTTCCTTTAATTTATTAAATACTAGTATGATACTTCGTATGGATTCGGACAAACCGAAAATTACAAATAATAAGTTCAAAGATGTTTATGATTTCTGGAATAATTTGCCAATTTTAAGTCGTTTACATAATGATTTGACAAAATAGTTAATGTTTTAATAACGTAATTAATCCGTTTATTTGTTTTTATGATTTTAAGTTTTCATTCTTTATTATAGTTACTCACCAAAATAATTCAAGTTGTTTTTATGAAAATTTCAATTAAAACTGATATTTATGATAAAATCAAATTTTGAAGAACATTTTTTTTAAAAGTCAAAATTTAATTTTGTATTAAAACTTATTTAATGTTTAGGATTTAAAAAAAAATTACGACAATAAAGATAATGAGTTAGAAAAAATGTGTTGTTTAATTAATATAAATATAAAAATATATTGTTTTTCATGACATAATTTCCACTTAAACGTTACGAATAAAAAGGTTCTAACGAAATTTTTTTCCGATAAAACATTCGAAAATTAAATGTTTAAATCGGTAATATTCGATATTTTTTCAAATTTTTTACTTCAAAATATCATAACTTATTGAAAAATGGTTGAATCAAAATATTAAAAGGTACCTTAAAAATATCTGGGGATTTATTTTTCAATCGTCCGTTCACGAACGTGAAAAGTGTATGGATCAACACAATTTTTTTATGAGAAATAATATTTTTTAATAATCCCTTTTTCGTTTAGGATATTAATAAGAAAATAGCAGATCATGTAGCTTTTGGAATAATCCACCAATTTTTTAAAATTAAACACTATCTAAAGATTTGCATCGAAGCGTTTTTTTTTATAGTGATTTTAATCACTGTCAGATATCATTGTACTTGATCCAACTATGCCACGTCACCACTGTGCCGCGACCCCCCTATGCTGGGTTTTNCTTACAGATGGACAGCTCCGTTGTATGTTCTTGAATATGCCTACCAGAATCAATATTCATTCAATGAACTATGGGGATCTATAGAAAAACCTTTAGGAATAACTCATAACGACGAAACAACTAGTTTGTTTAGAGCATATGTGTTAAATGAAAAAGAGCTTAATGAACAAGATACTAAAGTGTCAAAGTTAATGATAAATATATGGAGCCATTTTGCAACTACTGGGTAAAAATTTAATTAAAATATAGATTTAAATATTTTCAAAATACGAGTAAATCCATTAACAAAAAAATATAAAAGTTCAAATAGAGTAAAAGAATAATGTATTCAATATTAGTGTATATTATACAGGTGTTCAGTAAGTAAGGAAACTGGTAAATTGTTACAAACAATGAAAACAATAGAAACCCGTTTCCTTACTTACTGAACATTCTATATATTATTCAATAATTATAATAGTGTATTTAATTAATAAAAATAAAATACGTTCAAAATAACAGTCTAAATAAAAGGATTCTGTATTAATTATGTATAAAACGTTTTTTCATAAACTTCTTTTTCTTCTTCCTCGCCTTAATCCCAACTACTTGGGGTCGGCCAATCTTTTCCTAAACTTCCACTTGACACGATCTCCCACATCATCTACACTCACATCAGCTGTCCTCATATCGCATTCAATAGCATCCCTCCATCTCTTTTTTGGTCTTCCTCATAAACTTCTCATATTTATATTTTTAATGGTATTATGTTGTTCATATAACTCCTAACATTTTGTACAACACAGTGTTTCTAATTAATGAACAAAAATAAATAAAAGTCTTCTAATTACGTGTAAAAATCTAAATTAAATTTAGTTGTCTTTTAGCTCCGATGGGTGTCAATTCGTCCTATGTAACTACATTTTCATGTTCTCATCGCTCTCTTTGCGAAACTGTGTTTGATCTTAGACTAATATTTAATTACAGTCATAATATACTAAATGTTTATTATATTATTTTTAGAACACCAACTATAAATGGAACGCAAGAAGGAATTATTTGGCCTTCCTTTAATTTATTAAATACTAGTATGATACTTCGTATGGATTCGGACAAACCGAAAATTACAAATAATAAGTTCAAAGATGTTTATGATTTCTGGAATAATTTGCCAATTTTAAGTCGTTTACATAATGATTTGACAAAATAGTTAATGTTTTAATAACGTAATTAATCCGTTTATTTGTTTTTATGATTTTAAGTTTTCATTCTTTATTATAGTTACTCACCAAAATAATTCAAGTTGTTTTTATGAAAATTTCAATTAAAACTGATATTTATGATAAAATCAAATTTTGAAGAACATTTTTTTTAAAAGTCAAAATTTAATTTTGTATTAAAACTTATTTAATGTTTAGGATTTAAAAAAAAATTACGACAATAAAGATAATGAGTTAGAAAAAATGTGTTGTTTAATTAATATAAATATAAAAATATATTGTTTTTCATGACATAATTTCCACTTAAACGTTACGAATAAAAAGGTTCTAACGAAATTTTTTTCCGATAAAACATTCGAAAATTAAATGTTTAAATCGGTAATATTCGATATTTTTTCAAATTTTTTACTTCAAAATATCATAACTTATTGAAAAATGGTTGAATCAAAATATTAAAAGGTACCTTAAAAATATCTGGGGATTTATTTTTCAATCGTCCGTTCACGAACGTGAAAAGTGTATGGATCAACACAATTTTTTTATGAGAAATAATATTTTTTAATAATCCCTTTTTCGTTTAGGATATTAATAAGAAAATAGCAGATCATGTAGCTTTTGGAATAATCCACCAATTTTTTAAAATTAAACACTATCTAAAGATTTGCATCGAAGCGTTTTTTTTTATAGTGATTTTAATCACTGTCAGATATCATTGTACTTGATCCAACTATGCCAGGTCACCACTGTGCCGCGACCCCCCTATGCTGGGTTTTCTTTAATAAAAATATTTTATTTAGAGTAAATATGTTTAATATTAAATAACTCCACAAATAATAGGAATGTAAAATTAGATTTTATGTCAATTATGCATTTTTATATGATAGATCAATATATACTTTGCTAATACACATTTTACCCTGATTTCAAATCTGCAGTTTGATTTTCTCCATCGCTTCTGTTTTTGAGATTATTTCTAATTTATATCTATTTACATTTAAAAATTGATTTTGAATATGTTAAAAATTTTTATTTAAAATGTAATGTTAAATCTATTTTTTTGGTCCTGTAAAGTTTATTTTTATGAAAGTTTATAATTTAAAAATGTTGAAGTTTTTTAACCTTTCGTTTAGTTCAAATTGAAAGTTTGAAATTGATAAGGATTTAATAATTGGTTTTTTTTAGATTGATATATGGTCCGGAACTTGTATAATTATTATTAACAGTAAATTTAAGAAAAAAGCCCGAAATTTCGTTAAAGTCACTTATTATATTTTTTGTATTTATAGTGTATTAAATAGTTTTAATAGAAATACTAGTCATTTCTATGTAACTCTTGGTGTTAAATAAATGATACAATTGAAATATTCATAGCTATATACTATAGTATTTTATAATATATTGATATTTAGAAATATTCCGTGTCTAGTTTCACCTATGTTTTGTCCGTTGTTGAATTTCATTTTCACCTATGTTTTTTTATATTTTCGCTTTTAACTAATTAGTAATATTATAAAAAATTAGAAGTGATGAAAAAGATCTAATTGAAAATTTGAAATCAGCGCGAAAAATTGATTAAAATAAGTATATTTTTGGCCGATGAAAATACTTTGTAGACCATTTATTCGTAATTAACAGAAAATTATTAATTATTAACAATCACAAATTGTTGAATATCAGTATTATACTAAATAATATTTATTATTTAGTATGAATATATAATTATAATTATATATTCATACATTTTACTTATAAATTTAAAAAAAACTACTAATCAGGATATAAATAAGAAAATATTGATTGTCGATAAAATATATGTTGCTTTTGGAATAATCCACCAATTTATTAAAGTAGATATACAAATAATAAAATCAGTACCTCTAATTGAGGTGTAACAAATTTTTGTCTGGTTAGTTTCTAATGTCTTAACTAATAAGTAACAAAATGGCGGAGCCAGTTCACGAATACCATATAAAATGATAATGTATACTATTTTAACCAGCCAGTCAAAATTAATACTTTAAGATATTGTTTTAATAAAGATCTATTGCTTTGTCATCCTTTACTCAAACTTATTATCTCTAAATAATTGGGATACCATAAATTTACTTACTTCTTTTTTCTTGAAAATTGCTGTGAGATGAATCGATAAATATTTCAATATGTATGTATATTTACTTAGAGGTATTGGATTCGTACTTTGTCACAAGTTAAAAAATTAAAACAAATTCTTTTCATATGTATGTAAGCAAGACGCATAAGAAGATAGCCGACAACAACACGGGGTTGTGGCTAACGATTGTTTTCTTATTTGAATTCGATGAAAGCGAACTGGTGTCTGAAAAGATTTCAGTGCTTTTTATAGTGTATTATAATACCGCCAATCAAGGGATATTGTTGTCAGCACTTTTAGTGTATTAAGTATTAATATTTTTAGTCTATTTTATCTAATTATACATTACATGATTATTATATTGAGATAGCATATTTATATGCAAAAATTGACATATATTTAAATAATAAGAAATTGTGTTGAACAGTGTACATGTTATGACAGATAAGTTATTTGTTTGTTTACAAGTAATATAAAATAAAGATTATAAATTTTTCATTGATAATTATCAATTAAATTATAATGCAATATACGTATATGCCAAGCAATTGGACATATACATCATTACTTATAATCATTTACAATCAATTAAATAATTTTGTATACAATTTTTTTACTAAACACTGTGCACTTGTATTAACGGTTTTAAAGTTAAGTTCAATTATATTTTATGTAGATAATTTAAACGATTATTAAAAATAAAATTTAATTTTAAAACAAATATTTTTATTTATTAAAACATTTAAGATCCATTCGAAATTATACGCCTTTAATATTTGTTATATAATATGAATAATAATAGTTCGAGATACTTAAAAAAGTGGGAGAAGTTTAAATATGTATTTTAAACAACCGGTTGCATTATTCAGTTACGATAACACTTTATATTAAAACTAAACTGTAGTCAGTCGCACTCATGGAAGTATCGTAAAAAAATTTAATCTTTACTATAAATATATTTGAAATAATTGATTGTCATTACAAATAAGTTTTTGTTTGTATTATTATAAAGACTAACATTACATTTAATAAAGGTGAGTAACAAATCTTTACAGGATATTTTTTTATCGTTTTAGATAATATTAAACTATTAATAATTACATTTTATATGAATTAATAGCCATCTTAAAATTTAATTATTTAAAATTAATTAAAAAAAACCCAGCACAGGGGGGTCGCGGCACAGTGGTGACGTGGCATAGTTGGATCAAGTATAATGATATCTGACAGTGATTAAAATCACTATCAAAAAAAAACGGCTTCGATGCAAATCTTTAGATAGTGTTTAATTTTAAAAAATTGGTGGATTATTCCAAAAGCTTCATAAACTGCTAGTTCCTTATTAATATCCTGATTAAGACAAAGTATGTCGAATAAAAAAGAGATTATTAGAAAATAGTATTTCCCATAAAAAAATTATATTGATCAATACACTTTTCAATAAGTTATAGCATTATAA